ACACACACACACACACACACACACACACACACACACACACACACACACAGTACACTTTGCATCATACACTGTACATCATAAGCAGGCCTGAAAATTTCTGCCCCCATTTTGTACAAGGATTTTTTGTATCCCATTTACTCAGTAGGAGTTCCACAACACAGAAAACACTTTTGTAGGATTGATAAAAAATTTGTTACTAGATGGTTCCAAGAATCCTCGTAACTTAACAAAAAGATTTTACAAGGCCTTTTCTTTGTACCTTTTCTCACAGATTATCAAGTTTCCTTTTAAAATACTTATGTAAATACTTGATGAGTTTTAACATTGTAACAATAATTCCAAATAACTTAGTTAACAATCTTATAATTTTCAAAAGTGATAGTCAAATAATTTTAGAAGGAACTTCTTCTTAAGTGTAGGCAAAACTGGAAGTTTGTTAAGTTCTTAATTACAGTACTTCAGAATATTACAGCATGTGGTCAGTAGGGCTAATAAAATGACCTAATAGCTTTCTAACCCATTTTTAACCTTCTTTTAACAGTACAATTCTTAATCTAATAAATCCAGATTATAAGAGAAGTTGCTTTTGTAACAATATAGCTGAAATAGTAGTTTACCGAATTTCAGACTGTAAGAAAATTTAGAAAAATAACAAACCATAAATAACATTGTGTGTTTGAAACTTGAAACAAAACTTATTACTAATCAAGTGACCTCAGTTTAGTTGAATGCATTTCCAAATTACTTTACACTGAAAATCATTCATCTCATCACCATTGGCATTGTATATTGATCCCTTAGATGTATACATCTAAAACTCTATATGAAGTTATCAAGTATGAAACAATTACATCTAATTAAAGAAATAGTAGAAACAGTTAATAATATAGCATTTGCTCTATACCAGGCACTGTGTTAAGCACTTAGAATTATATGATCCCCACAATGATCCTGGGAGGTGGGTGCTATCATTATCCTCTTACAAAATAATAAACTGAAGTTTATTATTTGTAATAAATGGACATAAAGTAACTTGCTTGGGGTCTTACAGCTAGTAAATTTCTTGATGCCAAATAGCAATTATATTTTATATTATGTTTTGATTTGTCATAATTATCCTGATAAGAGAACACACTCAAACCACATTCTGATTTCGTTAAGGACAAATTTCAGATCAAATCAAATCAAATCTGGATTTATAATTGCTAATGGTAACATTTAACTCTCCAAGGCCCAGTACTTATAGCACTTTCAAAAGAAAAAAAAATTATTATCCTTAAATTCACGTTTCTTTTTTAAAAATCATGTGGTGATGATTTCTACCTCTTTATAACCTTGTTCTCTACTTCCTTAAGGAGTTATATAAATTCTCAATCCCCTGCCTCCTTTATCTATCTTTAAGACTTTCAGATGAGGGGCTGACCTAAGTATTCAGCCGCAAGTTCCCAATATAGACGCATACTTAGAAATACATGTAAAGTTTTACAGGCAGTTTGAATTCATACCTGTTATCATTAGGTTAGCTTAAAGTGTGCTGGGCTAAGTGTTGTAAGTTACTGCTTTTGGAATTTTTTACCCTAAGATTCTGGATGACTAATCTCTTTTACCAGGGAGATAGCTCTAAGGTGTTTGCTGGCAAGCTGTGGCCAGTTATTCCAGGCAGAGCCTTTGCGAGCTTTTCACAGAGTGAGTTGATGAAATAATTCTCAGTTTGAACAGTACAAAGAAACATCTAAGATCCTGTATAATAACCACAAATCAAAATAACCAATAATTTTACCAAATCCAGTACTTATATAGTGTTAAATTTAATATGGGTCTCCTATAGATTATCCTGAAAGGTGGATGGGCAAGACTAACCAGATTCTTATCTGACCTTACTCATAGACCAAAGCTAATTAAAGACTGATTTCTAAACATCTTTTCCTTTGCAATTTCAAGTTCTTAACTGAAATCACATCATTTTCCTTTAACCTAAGCATGGAGCTAGATCCTGAAATTTTAAAACATTGGCACCCTAACTCAGTTACCAATATGCCACAAAAGCAAAAACTCAATGTTATTGACTTTTTTTCTTTATAGCATATTTACTTAAGTCTCTTAACAATTAAATCCATATTGGCTTTCAAATCAATTTTTATTGTAAATCTTTCTACTTACACAGGAGTCAAACTCGCCCATCTGAAGCTGGTGCACAGACATCCAACGCAATTTTTCAGGATCAAGAGGGGCTTGCAGCATGTGGCCCTGATATTACCCCGTCCTCCATTTTTATTCTCAAACCTTTTAACAACTTACAAAAGGCTTGACTGCCCACTTAACAATAGAGATCTGTTAGGTTGCCTAAAAAACAGTTTTCCAAATTAAGTCATACTCACCTTCCTTTCTTTCCTGCTACTTTTCACTTTTCAAAATCTGGAAAGTTAACACTTAACAATTTATAAATCAAGAGAGTGGTATTTCTCTCATATCTTTTTTTAAAATTTTCTTTTTTTAAAATTTATTTTGATTTATCAACAATCACTTCCATAAGCTTTTGAGTTTTAAATTTTTTTCTCCTTCCCTCTCTTCCTCCCTCCGCAAGACGCACAATCTGATATAGGCTATACATATATATTCTTATTAAACATATTTTTACATTAGTCATGTTATAAGGAAGTATTAGAACCAACACAGGAAAGAGGAAACAAAACAAAACAGAAGAAAAAATAGCAAATAGTATGTTTCAATCTGCATTCAAACTCAATAGTTCTTTTTCTGGATGTGGATAGCATTTTCCATCATGAGACTTTTGGAGGCGTCTTAGATCTTTGCATTGCTGAGAAGGGCTAAGTCTGTCAAAGTTAGTCATCGTACAGCATTGCAGTTATTGGGTACAACATTCTCCTGGTTCTACTCACTTCACTCAGCATCAGTCCATACAAGTCTTTCCAGGTTTTTCTGAAGTCTGTCCACTCATCATTTCTTATAACACAATAATATTTCATTGTATTCATATACCACAACTTATTCAGCCATTCCCCAGTTGATGGGCATCCCCTCAATTTCCAATTCTTTGCCACCACAGAAAGAGCTACTATAAATATTTTTGTACATGTGGGTCCTTTTCCCATTTTTATGTTCTCTTTGGGATACAGCCCTAGAAGTGCTATTGCTGGGTCAAAGGGCATGCACATTTTGATAGCCCTTTGGGCATAGTTCCAAATCGTTCTCTAAAATAGTTGGATCATTTCACAACTCCACTAACAATGCATTAGTGTTCCAATTTTCCCACATCTTCTCCAACATTTATCATTTTCCTTTTTTTGTCATGTTGGCCAATCTGCTAGGTGTGATGTGGTACTTCAGAGTTGTTTTGTTGTGCATTTCTCTAATTGATAGTGATTTAGAGCATTTTTCATATGGCTATAGATGGCTTTAATTTCTTCATCTGAGAAATGCCTGTTCATATCCTTTGACCATTTATCAATTAGGGAATGACTTGTATTCTTATAAATTTGACTTAATTCTCTATATATTTTAGAAATGAGGCACTTATCAGAGACATTGATTGTAAAAATTCTTTCCCAGTTTTCTGCTTCCCTCCTAATCTTGGTTGCATTGGCTTTGTTTGTCTCTCACATCTTTTACCAACGTTATTTATAAAAACAACTTTCACAATGGTAATATACATTTTTAAACAAATTGCTGAAATCCTAAATTGATTGCATTTAAGGCTGTGATAGAAAAAGCTTGATCAAAATGTCTTAAAAGACAAAAAACTTATTTTTGCATTTTTAAACACAGTGCCCTGATGTCAGATATATTGGATGACCAAAGACAGTCCCCTAGATTTTATTTAAACATAATTTACAAACTTTTTCTTTGGGATCCAATTAAGTCTGAATTCATCTAACTTTGGAGTAACCAAAAAAAATTGTTCTTAATTATGTTTATTTACCACAATTCTTTCTTTTACTCACAGAATGGCACCAATATGATGATATAATTTGTATGAAGCACGATAAAAACGTGATGATGAAGCTCAAGGGGATTTTTACAGATGACGATAGAAAGAAGGTTGTAAAAGGAAAGTTCATTGCAGCCAGAGTTATGGTGGAGAATATCTTCAGTATCCTCAGCTCCTGGAACACCATTAATTTGAAAAACTTTTTCAGCCAGTTTTGTCAGTTTTATTTTGTGGTCAAGCAGCCTGTGGTTTATGAAGAGCAGTTAACGCAATGGTCATCTTTAGGATATGGAGAAGAAGAGGTATTCAGTTACATAGATTTGCATTTTCTAGATTAAGTGTAAGCTTTATTCTTAGCTTTATACCACTCACAGGAGTTACACGTTCCTCCCAGTTGTCACCACCCAATATTTCATTCTTTTTTTCCTCCTTCATATTCCCTGCTTGAAGTAGTAGACCATAGGACACCTCCTTCCATATCCTTAGCTTTGGTTTCTGCTTTCTACCTTTTCCAGGGTTAAATTTGCTCAGACAAAATTATCGGGAATGGGAAGAGAACCCCCCATAGCTGCTTTTTCTTTCCTACAATGATGGTCTAGCCTGAACCTTGAATGACCAGCATACTGAATATGGATTTTCTTTTGAGATGTATTTGAGTCTTATTTTGGATGTTTGTTTACCTAATAGTGGAGCATTATCATTATGTGTGAATGTCTTTCCTTACAGATTCTAAAAGTTGGGGTTGGGGAAATATTAACTAGTATTCAGGGTCAGGTCAAGTGTAAGAAGCATTTTATTTCTTGTCTATTTTTCCAGCTATTGTTTGCTGTAAAAACTCTTAGCAAACCTTAAGGTCACACACATTCTCCAGTAGCAGAAAGGAAATGAGGCTGTCTAATGTCCAGTAGGAGCTTAAGGAAGGAGAGTCTCTAGTCTGAAGCAAAAGGTGATGGCAGTAGAGAAAAAGGAAAGCAGGAAGGCTATTTTGTGGGACCCATCATAGTATCAGGACAGGAGCATAGCATGTTAGAGCTGAAACTGACCTTTTGCTCCTCTAATAGAGCTCTTATTGTTTATTTCTGAAAACTGAAGCCCAGAGCAGGAAAGCAACTTGCCCAAGGACACAAAAGTGATAAATAGCAAAGCTGGCATTGGGACCCCAGGGTTTTCTGATTCCCAGTTTCAGGACCAAAGGGTAACCAGAGAGCCTGGATGAACAAATGTCTTGCTCATTTCCAAAGGCATTGGTAATAGACCGTAGCTCCTCACTATCCTTATTCCTCTCAACCCCTTCCCAAGCCATGAGAGTCACCCACCAATAGTAGTGAAGAGCACGGTGAGTCCTTGATCTGGTGGGGGTGATGATGGAAATGTGTTCCCAGTAGTGGATGAAAATATATTTTCCATTCAAAACTTTGTTAAACATAATGATTATGTTATATTATACTATTGTAATTAGTATAATAATTTACTTTAGTTACATTTTGCACTAACTAGACTTTTGCAGGCTAGCTTGGAAAACTAGTCATTATGTGTAACGTTGTTATGGAAAAATGGGTTCTCAATTTCTTTTTTTTTATGGTAATTTTTATTAATTTTTTTTGTTTTCAACATTTACTTCCATAAGATTTTGAGTTCCAAATTTTCACCCCATCTCGCCTTTCCACCCACAGATGGCATGCATTCTAAATACCCCTTCCCCTAGTCTGCCTTCCCTTCTATCTCTCCCCCTCTTCTCTTATCCCCTTCCCCTTCAGTTTTCCTGTAAGGCAGGATGGATTTCTGTACCACATTTCCTGTATTTCTTATTTCCCAGTTGCATGTGAAAACTTTTTTTTAAACATGTGTTTTTAAAACTTTGGGTTCCAAATTTTCTCCCTTCCTCCCTCCCCACCCACCCTCATTGATAAGGCAAGCAACTAAATATAGGTTATATATGTGCAGTTACGCAAAACGCATCCATAGTAGACATGCTGTGAAAAACTAACTCTATTTCCCTTAATCCTGTCCCGCCTACCCATTTATTCTATTCTTTCTTTTGACCCTGTCCCTCCTCAGAAGTATTTGCTTCTGATTACTTCCTTTCTCAATCTGCCCTCCTCTCTATCATTCCCCTACTCTCTTGTCCTCTTCCCCTCCTATTTTCCTGTAGGGTAAGACAGATTTCTA